TCGATGGAGACTTCGACCCCAGAAGAAAGACTAACAGTCGCCCCTAACAAATGACAAAACTCTTTCCAAAATTTTTTTTGACCTAAAACATAGAGACTCTGATGTTAATGTGTCTGCATTCAAGCATTTCATTGGGCTTAAACAGATCACCCTTTACAGCAGATTTAGTTCACAAACAACTGACAGCTTTGACCTAAATATGATTTTCAGTTACAATAATTAATCCTAAAATTCGACATTAGTAACTTACTTTTAACAGCATCAGACGCGCGCGCGCTCACAAGATCTCCCGGTTCTTACTTGTGAATTCAGTTCACTGGAGACTCGCACTAAACGGTTAATTTAAATCAGTGAGTTGTCGACTCGAGAACAGCTGCATTTGAGAAGCGATTTAATGGGTTCATTGAAAAGAATCAGTTCGTTTATGAATCAGACACCGCTTCTGCGTGTCGGAGCACGTGATATATTATAAGGAGTAACGATAAGTTTTATGAAATGTAGTGAAGTAAAAAGTATGCTTTGGAATGTAGTGAAGTAAAAGTAAAATTTACTCAAAATAAAACTACTTTGTTACTGTCCATCACTGAGTAAGGACATCGTTAAACCAAAATCAGTGGTTCAATCATAATGTTATGAAGCTACGATAATACTTTTTGTGCACAAAGAAAACAAAAATAATGACTTTAAAAAACTTTTTTCTTTTAATTTCAGTGTCAGCCTTCAATGCACGTTCACGAGAGAACCACGATGCATTGTTGAAAAAAATCATAATTTTTGTTTTCTTTGTGTTCCAACAGTATTCTCATAGCTTCATAGCATAACGGTTGAACCATGTCACATGAAATATTTTAATGATATCCTTACTACTTCTGAATGTGTCAGTTGCGTTGCTGTCTATGCAGGATCAGAAAGCTCTCAGATTTGATCAAAAATATCTTAATTTGTGTTCTGAAGAGGAGAGAAGGTCTTATGGGTTTGGAACGACATGAGAGTGAGTAATAATGACAGAATTTTCATTTTTGGGTGAACTATGCCTTTAAGGAGTTTATTGTAATATTGTTACACTGTTCATCTAGTTGCTAGTTTGTGGATTGTAATGGACAACTGTTTTCTAAGAGGAAGCTTTTATATAATTTACAGGTAAGATTATAAAATAATTTCAACACAGATTAATATTTTATACCCTCTTTTTTATTTGCTTGGTGAGTTGGCACGTCAATGTCATAATGACCCTGCCAGGGTTTATTTTGCAATATTGACCAGATAGCTATACGTAATTCCTTATCACTCCAAACTCACGACACACAAACACACATATGTACACATATACACAGGCGTAATACTATTAGCCCCTCACACACTCCATCCTGTGTCCTGGACTGTAGAGTGCTGTCCTCAGCAGACTTAAGATATAGTAAATAATTCACTTCCCCAGACGGCATGCTGCTCAGCTGTCTGCTGCCTAGCCTAGCAAAACCTGCCCAGGATGAAATCAGCCCACATGCGTATGCTAACACACACTTTATTGATAAGGACTCTCTTTTTCCCCTCTGGTTCCAGTGATTCATTGTACATGGTGTTTTTGCTCTGCAGCATAGGCTGGTTTTTGATTGCCATATGAGACTGGATAGGTTTTTCTTTGTAGCACACGAGATAAGATAAGAGAGAGAACTGGCTATCAGCAATAGTATATCCATTAATGTCGTACAAATGCTCGGTTGACACACATTGGGAAGCTACATGGAGAACTATGCAGACTTGTAACATAGCTAAAGACAAGTTGAGGAGCAATTTATGATTGCAGGAGAAATGTTTTGTGTTTAAATGCTCAATGGTCTGGAAATGGGCTCATGGAAGTTATTCATTTTATCTTTAAATAATTTTTACTGTACTCATTGTTTCTCTATAGAACTTCCTTTATATAACTTTTTTTTTATTATTATTGCTATCTATTTTACCAGCTCTTGGAACTTCAGTGCATACCAGAGAAATCTCACAATGTCTTTGTCTTCTCCTGTCTTTCTCCCTCTCTATCTGCTCCATGTATTTTATCCAGTAAGCAGCATGGAGAAGCTGGTGCAGTGCTGTGTTAATGCTGGTGAATGATGGCTATTGCACGCACAGCAGTTCCTATAGCTTCATATCCTCCAGCATGCTGAGCTCCACCCACACATACCCACATCGTATATGCACCATGTTTAAATGGTGTACCTCATTATGCTGTTCCTGAGTTAGCACCTCACACATTAGTTTGCCATTCTTTCATCATTGCCTCATACTTCATTATACAGTCCCTCTGTTGTTCCAATTGTTGAGAAACAAGCTCTTTCATGTGCAATTTATGTATTATCAGTTATAGATGTATGATTTCAGTCTGAGACCAGTATAAACCAGCCTGAACTGGCATGGATATTTATATGAACTGAAATGTATTTGCTTGAATGCTAGACTTACTTGGTGATCCAGATTTACCATGTTGTTTTCCTCTCTGTTTCATTGCTGTGCAGTCTAGGCATGTAGGAGATTTCATTGTGAAGGACGTATTGTTCCTCTCTAAGTACTGCTCTAAGCTCTGCATGATAATTCATGTGAGTACAGGCTGAGCAGATAGATTAATAGTGATGTTCAGGCTGATGGTTTCGTTTTTGACGGATGAATATAAGCTGTGTGTGGCTTTCCTGCCATTTAACCCTCCTCCTTAGATGTCATACTGCCTCTTTGCTCTGTTTTCCCTCTCCCAGCCTCTCATCTTTATTGATCTGTCTCTGTTGTTTTTGCTTTTCTGTATTACCTTTGGCCCCTCTCTCTCCACTTCGTCTCTCCCTCTGGATGCCTGTTCACCTGTCATATTTTATCTGCTCTATCTTCCTGCAATTTCTTATCCCTTGTTCTGTTCCTCCTCTCTCACTGCTTTTGGAACGTGTCGAGTCATAAACATTCTGCATTTTGGATGGTTGCCTTGTTCTGAACCTGTGGGGAGTAGCATACATGGCTTGCACAGATGTTATGCAATACCAGTGCATATGCAAAAAGCTCAGTGGTAAAATTAGAGTTACGGGTACTGTACAGGGCTGCTAACAATCTGCTCTGTTATGCTTTTTTAACACGGATCTCATGGATCTCCAGAGAGACTGTCCCTGTACTTTAATAGCAGCTAATTAACCCAAAGACACTCTTGTAGCGCACCCGATATTTTATTCAGTTTGAGATCAACGCATCTATTTTACACATATGCCACCTTCAGACTTTTTACTTGTTTGTTCTAATGCAGAATATGTGATTTTATACTCTTGCTTGAGGGTGTAAATTGTATAGGAGAATTCTATCACTGTTCAGTTGATTCAGTGTTTCAGTTATTGGCTCTCATAGCCTGCAGTTTGTACATCAATGCTACATCTTTCGCAACATCAGAGCAAATTATTCATATTTTCATGCATTTTATATTACTTTTATTTTACTTTGACTTTTACAAAGTCTCATTCTGTCACTTCATTCTCACACAAGCGGATTAATCATATGGGCAATTTGCACTGTAGGTATTAGGTCAATTTAAGGAGCCCCACACATGACGTGTGGAGTAATAAAAAACAAGATATCTTGGCCACAAATCAACAATTAATTCCCACAAATTAATTTGCTCCCTCGTTTTAGGGTAAATCAATTAAACCAAGAGTTAACTACAGTAAAACATTAGGGCAAGTACAACATGGCTAAGATTTACCTAACATTAAATGATTAATTTGGGGCCACAATATGTATTTTTTTCTGCACATCATGTGTGGGGCTCCATAATAACCTGCTCCATGTAGAATTGTATGTTTTTAAAACTTTTGGTTCCACTTTATTTTAAGGTCCAATTCTCACTATATTAACAAACCATTAACTATGACTTTTGCCTCAATAAACTCCTAATTTGCTGCTTATTAATAGATAGTGGATAGTTGTTAAGTTTAGGTATTGGGTAGGATTAGGGATGTAACCAAGCAAAATTAAGATTTTAAAAGATTTAGATTGTGAATAATTTTAAATACTGACTTTTACTATTATTTCCTTTTCAAAAAACCCTCCTATCACTCTGTAAATCTGTACATTTCTAACACAAGATCATATTGCTAGCAGATTGATGGCTGTCTTCTTCCTTATCAGCACATAACCACAAACGGCATGGATGCATCTATTGATTAAAAGTGCTTAAGCTTTCCAAGAGCACTCTCAGAGTGATCCTAGGTCAGTTTATACTATAGCGCAGGCCTGTGTAAGAGATCTAACGCAGTGCTTTTTGTTTTTAACTCATGCCATAGATGGAGAAGGGGATGAGTGCATGAGTAGATTGATGCTCAGGTTACACATCGTCAGCATGTAGCAAAATCTAAAGATTAATTATTAGTTACAGGATGCAGGGCATATCATTTGTGGATGAGTTATCAGCATTTAATACTCATGCATGCCACAGATCATTGAGAAGCATACAGAAAAGTATAGGGCGATGTGGGGTGTTGCCCCTGTCACTCTCTTTCATTTTCTTTTTCTCAAAACTCATCTCATCTTGCATTCATTCTTCCATGATGCAAACATAGAAAAGGACAGAGAAATGCAAGGAGGGAGATAGAGAGCAATTGGAGTGCTTCACTAATGACTCGAGGCTGTGACTGAAATATAAAGAGACACACAGATAAATTGTAAGACAACACTTATTACATAAACTATCTGTATAGGCATCTGTAGTCCTGTGAGGGGCTGGACACTTACTGTAATGGCTCCGGTTTAATCTCAAACTATTTATTTATTTATTTTTTGTGTAGGAAAAAATTTATTAAAATAAAAATATGAATTGAACATAAATAAAATATTTAGTTGAATTCAAGTAAAGCTGAAAAGGTTAAAGCTACATAAAACTGCAGCAGTAACATTTAAATATAATGTAAATTTGGTAAAAGTCTCTTATGGTCACAAAAGCTGCCTTAATATGAAATATGTTTACAGTTTAAAATAACTTTTCTATTTTAATATTTTAAAATAAATAATATTTAAAATATATGTAATGGTAAAGCTGTATTTTTTAGCAGTCATTGCATTGCATTATTTCTTATTTCTTCTTAAACTGTTGTGTCTGTTTTTATAGATATCTATTTTTGTGGAAATGTATACATGTTTACATGATTCTTTGACAAATATGAAGTTTAAAAAAATAGTTTTCTGTTATTTTAATCAACTTAATGCATCCTTGCTCAATAAAAGTATTAATGTCTTAAAAAAAAAAAAGAAAAAAAATGTACTGACCTAAAATCTATCATATTATATTGTTTGTCAACACAATTTCCAGAAAGATTTACACAGAATAAGATATTTAGTCCAAATTGAGCCCTGCGTAGAACCATCTCAAGGATGATCAGAAGAAATGGACAGCACCTGAGTTAAATATATGAGTGTCACAGCAAAGGTCTGAATACTTAGGACCATGTGATATTTCAGTTTTTCTTTTTTAATAAATCTGCAAAAATGTCAACAATTCTGTGTTTTTCTGTCAATATGGGGTGCTGTGTGTACATTAATGAGGAAAAAAAAAAGAACTTAAATGATTTTAGCAAATGGCTGCAATATAACAAAGAGTGAAAAATTTAAGGGGGTCTGAATACTTTCCGTACCCACTGTACATAAAATGACATAAATGACATAAACCAAGCTATCAAGAGTGTCAATAGCAGCCCAAGTTTCTGTCTCCCTCTTGAGGCAGAGATACGAGTCACTGTATGACTCAGGCCAATGGCAAGGGGGTCTTTGAAACAGGGGTCAATTACTGTTGCCAATTATTGTTCAATCTCAAACTTATTTTTGTGAAAAAATGTGGGAGAATTTCTATTCATCAAGCTAAAGGCAATTTCAACTGTTTATTCTTTTGTTACCTACATTAAGTAACAATTTTAGTCTATTATATTGTACTTCACAATATAAATTCCATTCATTGATGTTTATTACTCTGCAGTGTATCTGGTTATTGATGTAAGTTATTGCATCATTCATTATTATATCATAACACAATGTGTTTAAAATTAAATGAATCAATGTTGTTTCTTTTCCAGTGAAAATAGTTATAATTAGCACAGTTGGATGATGGTTTAACTCATAATTGTGTTGTTACTTGCGGGTTACTATTTTTCTAGACTGCATAATCAAAGTACTTTTGAGTACAAAGTACTTCATTGGAGTTCCATCAAATAGCTCACAGGTTATGGTATTATTATACGTTTTATCAAGCCTATACGAGTTTGATGCCAATTAACTCTGTCATGCATCTAGTTTGGCAGCTGGTAGCTCTAACTCTAATAAACATGATGTACCCAAAATGCTGTGTGCAGGATTTAAGGCCCTCCTGAAGTGTCTTTCTGGAAAATTCTGCCGTCGGGAGCTCATCGGAATCATGGGACCCTCTGGGGCCGGCAAGTCCACTCTCATGAACATTCTTGCTGGCTACAGGTAAGCGTGCATTGACAGCACATTCAAACAGTGCCTGATCGCCAGAACATTTCAAAATAAAAGTTCATTTGCAGCGGGCCTTTTTAACAGTGCATGTATACATAGAGAAGGAATGTTCCAGAATTTGGTTCCTGTTGATCACTTTCTAGCCTTTCTTTTTATGCTCATCAAGTTATCTGTCCCGTATCCCTTCTTTCTGCAGAGAGACAGGCATGAAAGGTCAGATCCTGGTAAACGGGCGACCCCGTGACCTCCGCACCTTCAGAAAAATGTCGTGTTACATTATGCAAGATGACATGCTACTGCCACATCTAACAACACGAGAGGCAATGATGGTGTGTGTCTGCGTCTGTTAACACGAGTAGTTTTCTATCATATGTTACTGATGAGTAGGCAGCGCTCTAGAATACTTGATTCTGATTGGTCAGTCGCTGCCATCTGTGGACAAACATTTGCTTAATAATCACTAAGCTCTCTTTCTTTAAAATAATTCTGTAACTTCAACTCAAATCATGAAAATGACCAGTTGATAGTACATTGCCCCTTATTTACTGTAATCTTTCTTTTTTGTTTAGGTTTCAGCTAACCTTAAACTTAACGAAAACATGGAAGTGAAAAAAGAACTGGTTAGTTTTTTGCGGCATTACTTTACTGTTTGTGCAGAAAATATGTGTTCTGTTAGGAAATTATAAAACCTGTGGTTATATGGTGACATTGTATTTATGCGTTTTTCAGCCAAATAATGATATAATGTGTGACAGGTCAATGAGATCCTCACAGCATTAGGACTGCAGGAGTGCGCTCACACTCGCACCATTTCTCTGTCGGGTGGCCAGTGTAAACGGTTGGCTATTGCTCAGGAGCTGGTCAATAACCCACCTGTCATGTTTTTTGATGAACCCACCAGGTACCCATTACACGCAGCCTTATTATTAACCATAATACTTTCAAAATTTGATGTTTGCAGTAATATTGCTCCTTTGCAAAACATTTCCTTTTAATATCCCTAAACGTGCATGTGTCTCTTTGTGTTAGTGGTCTAGACAGCGCATCCTGTTTCCAGGTGGTGTCCTTGATGAAATCTCTGGCTCAAGGAGGTAGAACCATCATCTGTACCATCCACCAGCCCAGTGCTAAACTATTTGAAATGTTCGACAAGGTAATTGCTGTATTCTAAAATTATATTGTACTGTGAAAATGTGTTTCTGGGTTGAAGGACATATTAAGCATGTGAGGAGGTTAATGTGTTCATGTTCTTGTTTAATACTCGGTCTGTTCTTCTTTGCAGCTTTATATCCTGAGTCAAGGTCAGTGTATATATAAGGGAACAGTACCGTACCTTATCCCCTACCTGAAAAACCTTGGACTCCACTGCCCTACGTACCACAATCCTGCAGACTTTAGTAGGTCTACTGTGTATGTGTGTGCATGTGTAAGAGAGAAAGTGATAGATAGAAAAGGATATGCAGCTAGAAATAGATTTTTATGTGTGCTCTCTATTTTTGTTTGAAACTTATATAGCACTTATGTAGCAGTTTGTGGATTCTATATTAGATTGTTTTCTGCCTCATTTTTTTGCTTTGGTTTGTCAGAGTTTATAAATGAACCAACATATCTTTTTATGTGAATATGTAATTAACTGTAAATTTTGATCATTAAAAGAATGTAATGTTTAAAATATAATCACTTATGTACAAAATTTACACTCACTTGAGATAAATAATCCAGTCATATCTAGGTTATGCTATTTTATTGTACATACACTCTTAAAAATAAAAGGTTCTTTATTGGCATCAATGGTTCCACAAAGAACCTTTACCATCCATTGAACCTTTTCATTCCACAACAGATTCTTTACAGTGGAAAAAGTTTATTTAGATTATTAAAATGTTCTTCACTCTAAGCAAAATGGTTCTTTTAAGAACTGTTCACTGAAAGGTTCTTTGGGGAACCAAAATTGGTTATTCTATGGCATTGCTGTGAAAACCACCTTTTGTAACCTTTATTATTAAGAGTGTAGGACAGGTCATCCCCTCACAGCTGTCATTTTGTTATAATATAATATAATATATAAATGTGGAATAATAAATAAACAGAATAAATATACAGTATTGTTTAAAAGTGTAGGGTCAGTAAATTATTTTAAAGAAATTAATATTTTTATTTAGCAAAGACAGTTAATTGACCAAAAATCAGAGTGAAGACTTTGATACTGTTACAATATATATACAGTTGTGCTTATAAGTGTACATACCCCTTGCAGAAAGTGCAAAATGTTAATAATTGAAACAAAATTAAGTGAAGTGAAGTCACGTATGGCCAAGTATGGTAACCCATACTCGGAATTTGTGCTCTGCATATAACCCATCCAAGTGCACAAACTCAGTGAACACACACACACCATGAACACACACCTGAAGCAGTGGGCAGCCATATTGCTGCACCGCCCGGGGAGCAGTTGGGGGTTCGGTGCCTTGATCAAGGGTCTCACCTCAGTCGTGGTATTGAGAGTGGAAGAGAGCGCTGGTTGTTCACTCCCCCCACCGACAATTCCTGCCGGACATGAGACTCGAACCCACAACCTTCGGGTTACAAGTGCGACTCTCTAACTTACGTAACCTCAGTTCCCTGAGATACAGGAACGAGTACTGCGTCGCTAGACTCTATGGGGAAAAAAACTAATTTTCTCTGAGGACTAAAGCCTTTTCAATCACGCAGTGTAACTGCACGGCCATTGGTTCGTGCAGTAAATAAAAAAACGAACCAATGGCTCGGCAGCGGAGCTGAATGGGTGGGGCCATCTGGCTATATAAGCGGGCATTTTGCCATAGGATCTCAGGTAAATTAGACTGAAGCGACGACACGGAGTTGTGCAGCGTCATGGCACGGCAAGGAACGCAGTACTCATTCCCGTATCTCAGGGAACCGAATTTACATAAGTAACCGAGTACATACGTTCCCTTTCGATACTTCACTCGTACTGCTTCGCTAGACACTATGGGGAACCAATACAATCCCGACGTGTCATGAAAGAGGAACAACTGACATGAACTGGCCTTGAGCAATTAAGGCTCAGAGGGACCAAGTATAAGCAGGGTCAGCCCTGCAGGAGGCAAGAGGGTCGAACTCACTGAGGTCAACCCAGCCTTGGATAATCATTCCAACAATTTTGTACAGCCTCAGCACTTCTAAAAGGGCTAAGAGCGTACATGAAGTCAGGCAACGCCTGAAGGATTAGACCGCCTTTATGCAGGCGTGTGCCCATTTAGACAGATAGAATCCGAGCCCGTAAGGCCGGAATGTCCAAGTTATAGACCTGGCGAAAGTGGACGGCGAGACCCAGCCAGCCGCCGCACAGATGTCTGCTATGGACACTGTGATAGACCACGCCCAAGACGAGGCTACGCCCTGAGTGGAATGGGCTCTAACTCCTATGGCGCATTGCAAGCTCAGGGAGGAGTATGCTAGCACAATAGTGTCAACTAACCATCAAGACATTCTCTGCTTTGTGACCGGCTGAGGGTGCCAAATTGTCCTGCCTCAGGGGAATGGGCCATGGGGCTGCTATCAGCAGCTGGGACAGCTCAGAGAACCAAAGCTGGTTTCTCCAGAGCGGGGCCACTAGAAGGACCCTGTGTCTGTGTTCCCTGATTCGTATGATTACCTGAGGGATCAGTGCGATCGGGGGAAAAGCATACAGGAGGAGGTTGGGCCAATCGTGGGCCAATGCGTTCTCGCTCTTTGAAAAATAAATTGGGCAGTGAGAGTTGTCTTTTGAGGCGAAGAGGTCGATCTCTGCCTTGCCAAAGATCTCCCAGACTTTCTGAACCGTTTGTGGGTGGAGCATCCACTCTTCTGAGGGGACGTTGCTCCGAGATAGCATGTCTGCTCCTTGGTTCAATACGCTGGGCACATGTGCTGCCCTCAATGAACGCAGGTTGAGATGTGCCTATTCAAAGAGGCGCTTTACCATCTCGAAAAGGTGTTTCGAGGTGAGCCCGCCTTGGCGTTTTATATCAGATATCACTGTCATGCTGTCTGAGCGGACTAGCACGTGGTGTCCCTTCAGGTCCGGTAAAAAGGTCTGAAGGGCTCAACATACTGCCATCATTTCGAAGCAGTTGATGTGTTAACGACCTTCTATGTCCGACCAGGAGCCGAAGGCCAGTTTGCCCTCACACAGAGCTCCCCAACCTGTGTTGGACGCATCCGTCGAGACAACCTTCCTTCTGAAAATAATGCCCATGGTCACGCTCTGCTTGAACCACTGTGGGTCTTTCCAGGGAGCCAGTGCTGTCATGCAGGCCTGGCTCACCCTGACACGAAGGTGTCCGTGATGCCATGCATGGGGCGGAATTTGTGGTTTCAGCCAGTAATGAAGGGGTCTCATGCGTAGCAGACCCAGCTGTGATACCGGCGATGCAGAGGCCATGAGGCCCAGCATCCTTTGAAATGCTTTGAGAGGGCGAGAGGCTCCAATTTTGAAAGAAGCCTTGAGCTGTTGTATGGCCAGTGCATGTTCTGGCGAGCGAGTCGTCGAGATAATTCGGAATGCGGATTCCCATCTGTCTCAGAGGGAAGAGAGCCGCATCCATACACTTTGTAAAAGTGCGAGGAGCCAGGGACAGTACGAAGGGCAGGACCGTGTATTGATATGCCACTCCCTCAAAGTCGAATCTCAAGAATCGTCTGTCATGGGGGGCTACCTGGATGTGAAAGTAAGCGTCTTTCAGATCCTGAGAAAAGAACCAGTCCCCTGGGTGTATTTGCTAGAGGCTCTGAGATCGAGGATGGGCCAGAGGCCGCCATCCTTTTTGGGGACGAGGATGTAACGGCTGTAGAAGCCTGACTCGCTCTGAGCTGGCGAAACATCTCTCCAGGACTCGGCCCATGTGGCGAGGGGTTAGATTAGTTCGGGTGGTGGGTCGCCGTGAGGGGACTTGACACTTGCGATAAGTGGAAAAGGAAATTTGCTCTCTTTTTGAAAATGTTTATTTTATTTTTCTCGCTATAACAGCAGCTGTTTGTGTGGGCTCTTTTAAAATGGGCCCAGTATTCACAACAGTTTTTGTGACAAAAATACTGCCACCGGTACCCGGAACAGAACGGAGTGTTTGGGGTGTGGTCTGGCAATGGAGAAACTTTGCCCCCTCCTCTTCCTGTCCAGAAGATCAGGACGACGCCCAGGGCTGGACTGGGACAAAAAAATCGACCCTGGCATTTTTTGGTTCAGGCGGCCCACCACCACTTCGATATATATATATATATGTACTATACCAGTAAATGTTTTGAACAGTAAGATTTTTTATGTTTTTTAAAGGGGTCATATGATGTTGCTGAAAAGAACATTATTTTGTGTATTTGGTGTAATGAAATGTGTTTATGCGGTTCAAAAAACACATTATTTTCCACATACTGTACATTATTGTTTCTCCTCTATGCCCTGCCTTTCTGAAACGCGTCGATTTTTACAAAGCTCATCGGTCTGAAAAGCAAGGTGTGCTGTAATTGGCCAGCTATCCTGTGCGTTGTGATTGGCCAAATACCTCAAGCGTGTGACGGAACTGTTACGCCCCTACCATAATGTGATGCCCTGTGATTTCTTCATTCTTTTTGGCTCCACTTGTTTATTAATCAATCATTCAGCATGTGTATGAGTTCTGCTGTCTCGCTGCTGGCAGTAATCGAGGTCGCCTCAGGAGAGTATGGTGATCTGAACCCTGTGCTCTTCGAGGCGGTTCAGGGAGGCCTGTGTTCAGATGAGGGGAAGAAGATCTCCAGTGACAAGAACGACGCCACCACATCCTGTCCATCCCAGTGTTATAATGTGAGCGATGGACACACACTCTCACCTACAAAATCCATCTGTTTATCAGTCGCTGACCCACCCACTTCCATTGTTATGTGTATTCATACAGGATTCAGGCTACATTGAGAAACACACTTTTGCCACAAGTACCCTCACACAGTTCTGCATCCTTTTCAAGAGAACCTTCATCACTATATGCAGGGACATGGTAAGAATTGTCCTCTATTGTTATTGGCTGTGCCATATATATTAAATGCTAAAGAAATGTGTGTGTTCAGGTATTAACCCACCTGAGGGTGATGTCACACCTGTGTATTGGTGTGCTGATTGGTCTGCTGTACCTAAACATTGGGAATGATGCTAGTAAAGTGTTCAACAATACTGGCTTCCTGTTCTTCTCCATGCTGTTTCTCATGTTTGCAGCACTCATGCCCACCGTTCTGACATGTAAGCCAATCTGTGTGTTTGGTTGTGTATGCTTGATTCTTTATGAGCATGGAAAATAGATTTGATATGAGTGATTAATAAATATTTTTTGCTTTGTGATGGATTAGAAGTGCTTTTATTGGCTTAAGACTTATGCTCGTTACAGAATCAGTGGAGCGGATTGAATTAAGCATTGATGCAACAATGTATTTATCTTGCAGTTCCACTGGAGATGTCTGTGTTTATAAGGGAGCATCTTAATTATTGGTACAGTCTAAAGGCATATTACCTGGCCAAGACCATGGCTGACATTCCATTCCAGGTACTTCTGTTTCTATGTCGTTACATGCTATAATGTTAAATCTAAGGGAGGATTGGAAGAACTTAAAAAGTTGGCATATAAGGGGATGAACATTTCTAAATGTAGGGGGGATATGTCAACCAATGCTTTACTGTGTCTGTCCCACTTTTCAAATCATTCCATGTGCCCCAGGTAGAATCCAAATGTCAGAACATGAGTTATCCTCTGTCTCTTCCAGGTAATTTGTCCGATAATGTACTGCAGTATAGTGTACTGGATGACAGAGCAGCCTCCAGAGGCAGGCAGATATCTGCTCTTTATGGCCCTGTCCACCTCCACTGCCCTAGTGGCTCAGTCTCTGGGGCTTCTCATTGGAGCTGCGTCCACCTCCCTACAGGTGACTTCAAAACAGTTGTGGTAACGTTCAATAGTTTGGTGTCAGTAAGATTTTTTAATGTTTTTTTTATTGCTCACCAAGGCTGTATTTATTTTATAAAAATACAGTAAAATAGTAATGTTGTGAAATATTATTGCAATTTAAAATAACAGTTATCTATTTTAATATTTTTTGAAGTGTAATTTATTCCTATGATGGCAAAGCGGAATTTTTTATTTTATTACTCCAGTCTAAAGTGTAACATTATCCTTCAGAATTTATTCTAATATGCTGATTTGGTGCTCAATAAACATTTCTTATTATCAGCCATGTTGATTTTTTTTTCAGCAATATATACATATATATTTCTTGTAGAATTAATTTTTTGTGAAATATTTTTATAAAAACTGCAAGAATTTTTTTTTTGACAAATAGAAAATTCAAAAGAGCAGCATTTAAATTAAATTAAAACATTTTGTAGGTATAAATGTCTTTACTGTCACTTTTGATCAATTTAATGCATCCATGCTGAAAGAAGTGTGAATTAAAAAATAAATCTTACTCACATGCTCCGACATGTATATAAAAAAAATACAAAATAGGTATGTAGTTAAAAATGTGTATAGTTTAATCTGCTATACCCAGAAATGTTTAATTATACAAAGATGAAAATGTACCTGACCTGTACATGTAACACAGGGGTTTCAAACGTAAATTAAATAAATAATCTGTTTAATGAGTATTTTCATAACTTCAAACAGCCTTTAGACAACACAATTAGACAGTAATTACATTAAGTTTTAATGTATTGTTACTGCATTAAGCACAATTAATATTCTAATTTTGACAGCCTTACATTTAGTAAAATTCCATCAAATTATCAAAATTAATGTTTAAATTTGAAATCCCCTACTTTAACTCACATCAGTGTCTTTTGCAATTTCAGGTTGCCACATTCGTAGGTCCGGTCTCTGCCATCCCAGTCCTTCTGTTCTCTGGCTTCTTTGTCAACTTTGACACCATCCCCAAATACCTTCAATGGAGCTCCTATGTGTCATACGTCAGGTTGGTCAAGAGCCACGACAATAACAATCCTAAACAGGCAATCCTAATCACTTAATCACAAAAAAGAGTCTCTCCCTCTACAGGTATGGTTTTGAGGGTGTGATCCTCTCCATCTATGGCATGAACCGCTCAGAGCTGGAGTGTCCCGGCGTGGTGTGCAAGTTCCAGAAACCAGAGGAGGTGCTGCAGCTGCTGGATGTGGAGGACGCTAAGCTCTACGTGGACTTTATTGTTCTGGGGGTCTTCTTCTTAATTCTGAGACTTGCCACTTACCTAGTTCTGCGTTATAAAGTCAAGTCAGAACGTTAGGGCCAAAACTCATCATTAGATATACATTTAATTTCACATACACCCATAAACTCTCATAAATGCACATAACGATCTTTTTGCAATAGACACAGAAGCCAATGCACATTGATTATGGGGCCATTGTTTGGCCGCACAACATTTATCCTCAGTTTTTGTTACTTGAAAAATATTTTTTAAATTCTCTAAGTATAGAATAGTAAATTAATATAGATTTTTTTGTTTTATTTAATTTTAATTTTTGAACGTATTCCATGCAGTAACAGTGTAAATGCATTTTACCCATGACTGAACTTTGAAGCATGAGTCTATTGACAGGACTGGATGTATTTATAATGACAATCCCATGACAGCTCCCAATAGCATGTGGATTGGCCAACAGCCAACATGCGAGTGAGTGTCTTCATACCATATTGAAGGATCATCACATTGTCTCTCTGTTAATGCATTTAAATCCAACTGAAGAACGTAATCAAAATGTGTTTCGGAAGAGAGTGCACTGCATGCTTGGGGCACTTGAGGACATGCAAGCAGCAGAAGCGAGAACTGTGTGTGAGGCGTTTGGGATATTACAGACTATGAGAATGAATCGTCCAACCAGCGTATCTTCAATTCCATTTTTGTCTTCCCACAATACACTGAATTTGAGGAGAATAATACCTTCTGCTGAATATTAAGACTTTCATGATCTCCAAAGGCAATTCTAAGCAAAGCATCAACGTCAACCTGAATCTAACCATTTGAGGAATGTTGCAGCAAGTGCCCTTGATGTGAACTGCCTATCATTTTTTTCTGCGGGGGAACTGGAATGCCTTGCTGGAGAAACATTTTGGCATTTTGTCAGTATCAATATGTCCTGTTACCTTGAATTTTCTGTCAACTGCCTCTGTGGTATCCTGCGAGAGAAACATACAATAGTTTGTGGGCTTTTGCTCTCATTTTCATCAAGAGGGATCAAACCTTGAACTTGTATAGTACAAAAACTCCCTACAGTGACCAAAAATATGTGAATCGGCTAATCACAAAGCACCACTGAACTGACTGCATTTAGCCAAAAGCAACACATATCAAATGTCAGAAAATCATTTGCAATTCTAATCCTATTGAACATCTTATGCTAACATCCATTACTGTCCAAATAGCTCTCGCTGACCTGTTTCTTTTTACTTCTTTTCGCGACTGTTCCCTGGACACTTAATCTGCACTGCTGAGGATGTCAGGACATTTGCGGTTAGTTGCAAGTGACACAATCATATACCTGGATAGAGATGCTGGATGAACACTTTATGCCATGCCATGGTTAAATCTCGTTTGGACCTGTATGTACTTCCTCTTCCCTGCTTCTCCCTTCTAGCATTCAGGCTATTCAATACGGCAATGCAATGCAAACATCTTCACAAATGACTGTGTTACTCTGGAAATCTTTTTGAGTCCTGCTATGTGTTATGTCTCCTTATATAATGAAGACTACTAATAATCTGAATATATACACAAAGAAAAGTGTATGTGTTATGCTTTAAGCAAGATTGCAAATACATGTATCCACTTTTGTTGATGTTGTTTTATTGGAACTTTTCTGGACATTTATTTGTAATTAAGTTTATTTTTATATCTGTGAATATGACATGCAATTCTGGAAAAGGGAGTGTTGTGACTGGAAAATGCATGACGAATTTGAAATCAAAACACAAGACGCTGTGACAGAGGAATTTATGTTGCACATGTGTTGAAATCCAAAAAATACTCCCAAAATGATTGAAAAATCTGCAACGGGTTTATTATAGGACATCTTTGTATTGTTTTAGAATGTTACCATTTTGAGCCATTTGAGTGGTAAAAATGTGATATGCAGGCTTTGAGACCAGAAGACGGCCTCCAGAAAGCGTTTGCTTTTAGTAGCATTTAGTTCTAACACATAGTACTGTAAGGTACGATTGCTCTTTTTCTAGAACAATCTGTCCGCTGAAACATTGCACACAGCTTTAAAGTTGATCTTTTGGTCCTTCTGCAATTGAAGAATTGCTGCTGTAAAATAATTTTTGCTTTTTTGCCATATGGTATACCCAGGGAAAAACTCCCAAGGCCAACTGTTGGTTGTGGATGTTTTTGCATTTTCAAAAGAGCTGCTTTAGAGCAAGAGATCACTGAAGCTATTAGCTGCTCAACACTCAACAATCCAGTATTCAATATTGCTTAGACAAAGATTGTTATATGTTCTATTTCCTTTTGAGTCATTGGAGAGGTTTAGAATAAGGAAATGTTCACCATCAAGAATCTGTCTTCTAATGGTACACAGACATCTAACGTAGAGAGTTGGGTAATACCTGTTTCTAATAGCAATATTATTGTTCTGTGCCTAGTGAGTGATATTTCCTATCTAATCCTTGAATATTCGATATATTTCCAGTGGTCGCCTGTCAAATCTCTATTGTGTACAAATCATCATTTTGCGTGTCTGTCATTAGTATGTGTCGATATGTGTTTCTGTATGTGGAGTCTCAGCTGAAAGATGTTGAGAGACGCCTGGATGAGATCATATTTCACACAAACTTATATTTAATTATATTATTTCTCTTTAAGAAAAATCACGTTTTTTGTTACTCAGAATGCATGCCTTAGAGAAGCACTTGACGGTTCTCTCTCAGATTTGAAAATAAAAAAGATAAGCAGGTAGAGTGCAAATTAATTTTCGAGATATTGAAAAAGACTTTTGTTGATTCGGTTTTGAGTATGAAAACATTTTGCAAGGTTTTGGCTTGCACAGCAATGAGAGTTAATGCAGTTTGCTTCCCAGTTTTGCTGCATAATTATTATATTCGTCTCATCAGAAATGCAAGTTATGTGTGCTAAACCTTGTTCAAATGATTATAATAAATGCATTTATATATTACCTACACCTATTGATGATGATTTCTGTCTCTATAGTGGTCCGGGATACACATATTTCAAATACTCTGTAACTTTATTTATTTAGCTAAACCTTGTTCAAATGATTATAATAAATGCATTTATATATTACCTACACCTACTGATGATGATTTCTGTCTCTATAGTGGTCCGGGATACACATATTTCAAATACTCTGTAACTTTATTTTTTTTTTTCAAGAAAACACTTATTTTAGTCGATTTGATTTTTCTAACCCTGCAGTCAGTTTAATTTGGACAACCTGCTTGAAGGGATTGTCCAACCAAAAATTACAATTCTGTCATTATTTACTCACCCTTGTGATGTTCACTTTCTTTCTTCTGTGGAACACAAAAGAAGATATTTTGAAGAATGTTGGTAACCATACAGTTTCGATATGCGCTGATTTCCATTAAATTGGAAGTCAATAGGGACTGAAACAGCATTCTTAAAAATCAACGTGATCTCATGATAATTCGTATGTATTTTACGTAAAATGTGGTTCTATCAAACGTACATTTACTTACCTTTTTACAGGCACTAAAACGTACAATACTGACGTATTATCAGCATTTAATCGTACAAAACTGAAGTATTGACGACACCTAAAAAAGAATCCTTATGACTATATTGAAATCGCAGCATTCATTTTATTATTGTTGTTTTTAGTTGTCATATCAATGACCTTGTTTTCAATTGCATTATTAAATTGTTTACTCGTTTACTTAATATGAAATGATAACATTTCATTCTGTTCTGTGTGATTTCTGCTGCCAGCTCGTTTTCAAGAATAGGCCTACATAATGTTAAACAAGACTTCACTATAATCCAAATCTTCCGAATCCATAGACTGCGAGGAACAGACCCAAACAAGCCTGTATTCGGCAATTCATCTCCATCCTGAGCAGCGCACCCAACAACCGTAAAGCATAAAAGCCCTCGCTGACTGATGTGCTCTTTACAAATTCAAATATTGTCAGGTTTCAAACGACAGGTTTTACTGCAGGAAAATCGAACGCTGCATGTGTCACAGATTGCGACGTGCCGTGTTTCTGGTGAGGTGTGTTTGAATGATGCGCGCGCGCCTTCACGAGTTCACATAATCTGGATAATATTTTCAGCGATTAACAACATAAATTCTGCTTTGCACCTCACACAAACCTACTGTTATTCCTCCGCCAGAGAGGACTGGCTGCAACGCATCCTCATTTATACTTTTGGTACTGCTTTTGACATTTTTTATATAAATAAATGATTGTAATTGCATTCATCTGTCTGTCATGTTTTTCTTAAACTGTACAGAAATAGTTATGTTTAGGTTTAGAGGTAGGAGTGGGATTAGCAACTATACAAATATTTGTAATGCTATGTTGATACTAAAATGGTTATTTTCCTGCAATTGCGTTTTATATTCGCTATAAAATGGGTAGGTTTAGATTTGGGGGTAGGTTAAGGGGTCTAAAAATCTAAATCGCTTATTGATCAAATGATAAAAATGCATATTCGCTATAAAATGGGTAGGTTAAGGGGTCTAAAATATAAATCGCTTATTGAAAAAATTATCAAAATTAATTGATACGAATATCTTAATGATATAAGATATGTAAATATTTTTAAGTTTTTAGCTAAAAATACAAAGCGATTTGTACATTTTAAACGTTGAAATACGTCTAAATTGTACGTTTTAGCATCAATAAAAACATACAAAATTGTACGTTTTGTGCTTGTAAATGTTACGTAGTAATACCTACGTATAAACAATGAGACCAGGCTGTAAAAATACATAAAGGTTTGGAGCGAAATGAGAGGGAGTAAATGATGACAGAATTACATTTTTGGGTTATCCGTTACAATGAATTTTATTGAATATTTAGTGTATAAATTACACTTTTTTTCTAATGTATGTTGTTATGAATCCAAACCTGTACAGATAAATAATATGGTAGCATAAGTGTTATCTAAATGCTTGGTACTGCTGCCATTGATACCATCAGGACCTTTGAAGTGTGTTAGGATGGTCTCAGAATGTCCTTGAGTCTGTGTCAGATTACATTGGTTTCATTATTCTTCTAATTATCCTGATTATACGCTCTCAGAAAAGATACAAAACTTTAATCTTAGCTGAGCCTTTGGTTTCATGGCACATTTGCAGTTGGCAGGTTAGTATTGTGTCCTTCAGAGGAGATATATTGACAGCTCTGGATGAGTCTTCTCTCTGCCAAACATCCATCTGGTTTCCCCTCATAGGGCTTCCATCTTCCATCTCTTATACCTAGAAAAAATGTATTCACAATTTGCTGTTTTTAAGCAATTGTATAAACCAATGAATAGTCCTTGCAATAGGACCATGCAGTAAAGTTATGTGAGAGATGTGTTCACTGCTGGTGTGAAATTTACAGAGAGAATGACTGTGTGGGTTTTACACCCAGGGGTCAAGAACAAAATGCCCCTCTTTGTGAGCACACAGTCAGATTAACCATTAAAAGTGGAGCAGGACAAAGAACACATGAGAGAAGTTTATCAGCTCAATGTGTTCCTGAAACTTACATCTTCCACGAACTATGAGACAAAGAAACAGCTCAGGTACCTCCGGCTCAAATTGTTTTTGCTCTACCTCACTGTTTTTAAGTACTGTAGGCCTACTATGCTTTACACTGTATTTCTTTTTTATTTAATTTGCAAAATGCATGCCGGTGCTCACTTTTAAACCATTAATTGTAAAAATGTAGGAGAAAAAAGGACTGGGGTTATTTGAGTGGAATAATACTAAATTTATTTTATTTTGAATTGAAAATAAAATAAAATATTTGACTATTAGGTTAAATCATGACTATTAGTAAATCATGGTCACTCCATCAGTGGTTGAGTGTTTGTGTGAACTCGAGGACATGGGCTCTGTTCATTTATCATTGTTCAGGACAAAATACAGCCAGTCTCTATGATATAATTTCTTCATATTTATTACATTTCTAGTTTTTAAAATTTACCTAAGTAATGTGTAAAATTGACTTAAGAACTAAGTAATGTCCAGAATGCAGTGACGTGATTCATCTTGCCATTCTTGACATGTGCTGTACCTCAATATAAAGCTGTGATTGTCAACAATAAAAAAATCCCTAGTTCATTGGCAATAGATAGCAGCCTCAGTATTGCCAAGATGTTTAATCAAAGCCTATCAACCGAAGACAAACACTATTTTGATTATTTTTGGCTAACAAACATCACATGTTCTCACTATGGATGACTAATCTAAAGTATAAAGTGAAGTCAGAGCAGATGAGCTATAACCACATTTTCTGAGCCAAGATCTGTTTGTGAAATCCCAAGGTTAAATGTAATCTTTAAAGCAAAATGACTGATCTTGGCTCAGAACTAGGAATGTTTTTATCCAGGAATTTGAGGTGTGTTTGGCCTCGCTGTGAGGTTGTCAACATTTCATGTTCCTCTATCTCTCATTACTTTAGTTGCAGTGCTATGGGACGCCATGGAGCTGACAGAGTAAGTAACGTTTTTATGACTCGTGTCCCTTCACAGACACACATCCACATGGACTGTAGCTTTTGACTTTGTGCTTTCTGCTTTGATAAGCGTGCACATGGACGGACACGCCTGAACTTATGGCTTCATCTGAGTGTACTATCTAAAAAACTGTCAGTGAAGTACCTGTGTGGAGGGATTATTGACTTGTTTATGGTAGTGCATTGGATCTCATTGGCTGTTGTGTACAGAATTTATCAAAGAGCATAAACTAAATCCTTAACCTGTTCTTATGTTCACTAAGGAGGTTTACCTTCAATCCCAAGGAGGGAATAGACAATCCAGCCATGGTGACTGCAGATGATACAGGTTAGTGTGTTTTTTATTATTAATAGTGTTAGCTGCTTTGTTGCAATTAAATTTAAATCATTTTATTGTATAAGTTATCATTTATTTTGATTTTTATATTCATTTTTTACTCATACCACAAAGGAAGGTTTTTACACCAGGGTTTCCCAAGCTGGATTTCACAAACCCCTCTGGGAACTGCAGGGGGTTTGTGAGTGGATGAAAAGCTAATAATTATTTTAATCATAAGAAATAAAGAAATCAAATAAATACATAATTAAAATTAAAATAAAAAATAAAATACTAACTAAAAAAATTTATGAATACTGTATTTACATGTCCTGTGGCCATTAACCAACATCAGAGAACCACAAACATGCAAACATGTTGTTAAATTATTAAAATATTAACTTAAAATCTCATGGTAAATATATTAGATCAAATAGATTTGGCTAACAAAAACGTTTGGGAATCCCTAGTCTATAGCATAGGATTATTAGTAACAAATAGTTTATAGTATACCATAAGTACAGTTTGTCATTTAACTCTAGTCTTGGCTGACAGAGGCTGTGTCAAAGCCCTCGCCATGTTTGTGTGTGCTGAAGAAGGAAGAAGGAGAAACCTTTGGCTTCCGTCTGCTTGTGGAAAGAGGGCAGCAGGGTCACATAATTAGACAGCTGGATTCACTGGGAGTGGCAGAGAGGAGTGGGCTCAAGGATGGGGACCGCCTGCTTGAAGTCAATGAGATGTTTGTTGACAATGTGGAACACATGGAGGTGAGAGGTCATGCAAGACCTTTATTTTGCAATTACTGTATGTTTTTACTGTCCAAGCTATAAGCATCTGTTTTTGCGTCAGGCTTTGTAACAGAGTGTTTTATTATGTTTGTTTCGCTCCCAGGTGGCACACAGGATTCAGGTGAGTGGATCACACTTATGCTTCCTGGTATTCGATGAAATGGCCTACGAGCAGGCTGTGTCTGAGGGTCGTGACCTTAGAGAGCTGGCTAAAGCTAGCCGTGGGGAAGGATGGAGGCCTCCTCGTCTCTGCCACATCACGAGAGATGCACCTGGCCTGGGCCTCAACATACAGCCAGTGGAAGGTAGAAATACAGTAATTTCATATATACGTATAAAAAAATGTCAAAATCAGCCCTGTAATGCCGTTATAGAAATTCTCTCTTATCTCTGATGTATAGGTGAGAAAGGCAAATTCACAGTAAGCTCAATGAAAGGAGGTGCTGCAGAGAGAGCAGGAGTAAAGAAAGGGGACCGGCTAATTTGGATAGATGGTGCCATGGTCTCTGAACTCACACACTCTGCCATCAGCAGAATGGTAAACATGTACTTGCTTTAGATAAATGTAAAAATTAAAAAAATATATGGTAAAAAATGGCAGCTGTGGTTGCCAGAATATGGTGGGAATGCTTCAGCTATTACAGGATGGCATATTGTTACCTGCATGTTGTACAGCTTAACCACATATTTCATCAAGTGATATAATGTCAATATACAATTGTACTTTTTGTCTTAAAATGTACTAATAACCACCATAATACAAAAGATAAAACAGAAAGCCACATGATGAAACAGAATTTATCACAAGTACCCTGTTCATAAAACATGGCCAATACTCATGTATAGATTTTACCCAGGGTCTCACACACAAAGACAAAACAACATCAGGATAACACACAAAACTAAAATAATGAAATAAACTAGTGCTGTCAAATGATTAATCGTGATTAATCACATTCCAAAATGTTTTGTTCACATAATATATGTGTGTACTGTGTATATTTATTGTGTATATATAAATACACACATGCATGTATATATTTAAGAAAATATGTTATGTTTATATATTAAATATATTTATATATAATATAATTTATATGAATATATAAATACATGTAAATATTTTCAAAATATATACTGTATGTGTTTGTATTTATATATGCATAATAACACAGTACACATTCATGTAAACAAAAACTTTTATTTTGGATGAAGTTAATCATGATTAATCGTTTGACAGCACTACAATACTATACTACAATACTAGTCTGGTTTCACAAGTGGACATTCAACAGAGACTGCCTTGCTCTCCGTTTTTGAAGCCCTAAGACTTTCAAGAGCGGATTCCAAATCTTCAATACTTATCTTGCTGGATCTGTCCACTGCTTTTGACACAGTTAACCACCAGATCCTCCTGTCAACCCTATTGACAAAGAGCATCTTAGGAACCGCACACCAGTGGTTTGAGTCTTACCTCTCAGATAGATCCTTCAAGGTATCTTGGAGAGGTGAGGTGTCCAAGTCACAACATCTAACTACTGGGGTGCCTCAGGGCTCACTTCTTGGACCACTTCTCTTCTCTGTCTACATGGCATCATTAGGTTCTGTCATTCAGAAACATGGCTTTTCATATCACTGCTATGCTGATGACACTCAACTCTACCTCTCATTCCATCCTGATGATCCAATGATAGCTGCTCGCATCTCAGCTTGTCTAACAGACATTTCTTGCTGGATGAAGGACCATCACCTTCAACTCAACCATGCCAAGACAGAACTGCTTGCACTGGCTACCAATAGCTGCTCGCATAAAACTCAAGGCATTAATGTTTGCCTACAAAACCACCACTGGCTCTGCACCCCTTTACCTAAATTCATTACTTCAGATTTATGTGCCCTCTAGAAGCTTGAGTTCTGCAAGTGAACATTGCTTTATTGTGCCATCCCAAAGAGGCACAAAATCACTTTCACGGACTTTTAAATTAAGTGTTCCGTCCATGGAATGACCTGCCCAACTCCGATCACTGAGTCCTTAGCCATCTTCAAGAATCGGCTAAAAACACATCTCTTCCATCTTTATTTGACCCTCTAACTCTATCTAACTCTCTATTCTAATTCTATTCTTTATTTTAAAAATCTAATAAAAAAACTTGCCCCTTTTAGACTTGCACTCTATTTATTTACTAACTGCTTGTTTTCTTAAAAAAAACTAACACTAGCTTCTCTAATCTTTTTGTATTCTATTTGTTTTCTTTTTATTTATTATACAATTAACAAAAGCAAAAAAGGCATCTAACACTAGCTTGCTCTATTATTTTTCTATTCAGTTTTTTTATTTATTATATAATAAAAAAAAACTTGCTACATGTACTGCATTAAGCTAACTGAGAGTTGTTATAGCACTTGCATATCATTGCTCTTTTGTTGATTTTGATGTCGCTTAGTAGATGACTAAATGTAAATGTAATGTAAATGTACAATAAACATTACCTAAATAAAAGAAATGTAACAAAAAATACCATAATGTATGTTACTGTTTACAAAAATAAACAAAATTAAAACATAATTAAATAATATTTTTTTAAATAATTAAATAATTTTACATTATTTTACAGTAAAATTACATAATGCAATGTTAAATCATTCACAGTTTTTCCCTCACAATGAACTAATTAACAGTCTGCTGTGACAAACTCATGTCATGAGTAGCATTTAGATCTTTTATGGTGTTATGGTGTACTTTCATCTCAAGTGATGCTATTTCCAGGTGAAGAAGTGCAACAATCACATGACAATGCTGGTGATTGACAGTGACAGTGAGAAGAGTTATGCCCGTAGGAAAATGCCTATTCTCCCAGCCATGGCTGATGCAGAGAACATGCCATATCGGCCTCGCAGACTGCATCTGGTGCTGGGGCCAGAAGGGTACGGCTTCCTGCTCAGGCAGGAAAAGACTGGAACGGGACGCAGTGGTGAGAGGCAGACACACACTTTGACATGCACTCATACTTTGGCATACAGCCACACAAATGAATTGCAGACTGTATTTATGTTTGGTTTATACAGTCCACATGTTGAGAGAGGTGGATAAGGGCAGCCCTGCTGAACTGGGAAGAGTTAAAGAAGGTGAGATGCTTCTTGAAGTGAATGGAGAGTCCACAGAGTCACTGAGTCATAATCAAGTTGTCAGCAAAATCAGACAGAGTGGACAGCAGGTCACCCTCACGACTATGCCACCTCAGGGCCAGGACTTCTACACTAAGGTGAATATACAGAGTGAGCACATAAATACTAATATGGGGATGGTTCTTCAGTTAAGGGCACTTCTTGAAATTCATTTCTCAAATGGCAAGAAAAAAAGTGTCACTGGAATAAAGATCTGATTATGGACTTGATCAGCCAAAGTGGATATTAATATAGTGTGTGGTGATATGTGATATTGAGTGTGATGGTAACGACATGTTTCTGCTTTTGGAGAAAACTTAGCAGTCAATGCAACTTTCCTTTGAAAAGAAAAAAGTTCTAATATTCTAACGCATTTGGTAATGACACTTTAAAAAACAAATAGGAAATGTAGATATGTGCATATAGATACATGTACATGTGTTACTTCTCATTTCCATCAGAACCAAATATTTTATTTTATTTTATAAAAACAAAATGGTTCTTTAAGATGCTTGGTGTTACAGTATGTTCACGACAGCAGTATTGGTGACAGCAGATCTTTGTTATAGAAAAACTCAAAATTATATACAAATAAATACTCAATGATTACAAATCCCTTATAATTTGAATTTATGATACTATGAAACTTTTAAAGATAATACAATCTATCCTATACTAATTAAACTGATATTTATATATTTTTAAGTTCCCCTATCTGAAAAATCACAATTAGACAATTATAATTCAATAAAAGGAAGAATTTATCAACAAGTTTTCATCCTTTTCCTTATGCCTGTTTGTCTACTTGTCTGTTAAACGTCAAATATGATTTATCCTCAGTTGGGCCTCTCTCCCTTGCTGTTCTGTGTGGACATTACATCTGGTAACCCTGAGGAGCAAAAGGAAATCCCAATGACAACGAAGCCTGCATTGCCCCCTGTTGAGCCTCAGGAGGATGTGAAAATCAATCCTAATATTAGACGCTGTATTCTGGAGAGGGGCTCTGCTGGTTTTGGCTTCCATTTGGGCTGCGTCCAACAGAAACCTGGCACCTTCATCAGCCAGGTACAATGAAGCCCATTCACTGCCAAATCAGTCTTTAGACGATACTGACTTCAGAGGTTAGGACTGAATAGAAATGTTCCAGACTCACTCATTGGTGGGGGTTCTTCATAGAACGATACGCTTGGAAAATCAGCCTTAGGCCACATATTGAACTGTATATAGCCTAATATTCAGGGTGTCATCTGTTAGAAATTATAGAACACTATTGATAATGCTTTCATACACTATATGTAAAATATACATTTAAAGTAAATATGAATAACTTTACATTACATTACATTAATGTACTTACTTACTTTACATTTTTAGGTAGCAGCAGGAGGCCCAGGAGAGATGTCAGGGCTCCTTCAGTGTGATGTGGTGGTGGAAGTGAATGGACAGAATGTGGAGAAAGAGACTGTGGAGGATGTCATCTTACATGTGAAGAGAGGACGAGACACTCTTTCTTTACTAGTAGTAGATCAAAAAGGTTATGACTGGCTGAAGAAAAATGGGATGCCAATCACTGTGAACAAACTAGCACCTATCTCTGAGGTATGCAATAACATATATCTTTCCTAGTACTGATTAATTGCATTAAGTGCGATTAAACCACACACACAAATGTTTTCACAACTCATAAGCAAAAACATTATTCATCACATGCACTTTATTTATATAAGTTCATGTATTTGTTACAGGTGGAGGAAAATGTTTCAAGTGCTGCTGAACCACCAGCACTGAAGACTGTTGACTTGTCTGATGACAGCACTTAGTCCACCTAGTTATAGTGTGGATGGCCATTAACATTTGGATGGACATTTCTGATCGTGTCAATGAGATCAGTGCTTGGAGAATGATGTTTAAACAGAGTTTCAATGGGTAGCTAATTTCTCTGACCTATACATTTAGCACTTTGCAGTTTTTCTGTATGAAATTGCCTAAACCTTGGGCACCATCCTTTGCACATATTCATAATCATTCAGAGTGCTGTGAATACAGTAAATGTTTAAGATATGTTACTGGATGTCAAAATACAGTATGCATAGCAGGATGGCATTAACAATGTTAATTTCTGAGAAATATTTGTATGTATTTTAAGATGTGTTCACCATATGTTTTGACCTATAAATACAATTTCAGCATTGTGGCATTTTGATCCTAAATGCATCACTTAAATGGGGTCAAATATCCCCCTCCCAAATAAAAATAAATAAATAAAATAAATGAAAAACAATGTGTGGTAAATAAATGTCTCTGATTCATCATGAGTGATATTTCAGGAAAATATATTTGTGTGCTATTGTTGTCATTATTTAATAATAAATAATAAATAAATAATTACACTATTTACACTAAACATGAAAATTGTATAGCCCTTTATACAGTCGTTTGGCATTAAAGGGGTCATATGATGCTGCTAAAAGAACATAATTTTGTGTATTTGGTGTAATGAAATGGCAACGAAACAGCGTCACACACGGCGGGCTTGAGAACGGCGCAGCCGGCGGATTCGACGAAGGAGCGTCCGGAGGGCTTGCGGCAACCACATGTGATGACCCCGGGCTGGACTCCGCTTCGTCCACGGTGAAAGCCGATCCGGCGATCCACAGCGGGAAGTTGATGTATTTCCTCAGCAACCAGCACGGATCAGCTCCAGGCATGACGAAGCGGATATCGTCCTCTTTTGAAAGGCCAAACAAAGTAGTTTCGCTTTCACAACGAAACACAGCGCCTTCACGACATGGTGGTGGCGGCAACAACAATACTACAGCGAGAATAAAAGTTACGCCTTCTTTCTTTGCGTGAACGTTTGGGCGGCGTTATCGTTATCTAAGATGCAAATCTTCCCACATTGTGATGTAGACATGTTGGGGCGTGTTAGAACGAGCCATTTTAGGTAGGCGTGGTTGACTCTTAACTTTTATAAAGAATATCTCTCTGGATTTGAGACTAGTCTTTGCAACTTTACAGATCTTCTTTATGCACCAAGAACTTGTAACATTCCAAAGAGAAAGGAAAAGTTGAAATCGCATCATATGACCCCTTTAAGTAGCATTTAGCCGGTCGTGTTATGCCGTCCTTATTTATATGAAAAGTATTTAATACGGTATTTAATTTTTAGGGAAAAAATTAGGAAAAAATCCGTTTTTATTTGTATAAACAGCATTTTTGTTCAACGTTATAACACGGTGCCAATATAGAGGCTATATTTTTTACGACATCCTCGAAATTTCCGTCAGGCGTATAATCCGCCGCCTCAATCGAAGGGTCCTTCGCTGGAGGTGACATTCATTGAAGGGCCCCGGTTTGTGAAGAGAAGCGGCGAATACACCTTCACAGTCACAGAAATCATGGCCCAGGCGGTACAGAAATTTGTGGCTAAAGTGCCAACGTTGGTCGGTGGTAAGAATTATCACCTTTTACTTAAGCTATAGATTTATTCCTTCAAAAATATTTATTTTGAGTTGTGTGCTTCTGGTTTCCGCAGCTGTTAGAACAGGCTGAGCAAATGAGCAAAACATGCATTAGATAAATTAAACCGTTACTATACAGACAGTAATTGTGGCTGATTTTCGTGCAAGCAAATGATCAACAGTTGTGTTAGCTAATGCTCTGGTGCTTTACTCCGTTTATAGCTGCCACAATTCATTCTGAACGCGCACTACAGCAGTGTTATATGCTGAAGTTGACAGCACAAGTCGCCCAGTGTCAGCGTGTGAAGATACATTCAGCTCAAACATTTAAGTTGTGCCTATGGCCTTGGCTTTGTGAAGTTTCCTTTACAAATTTAAACGTTAGTTATATCTTTTGTATGTTTTCCGTGATTAACGTTTGTAATGATATATGCAGCCGCTGTGAACTACTCCAAGCCCCGGCTAGCCACATTCTGGTATTACGCCCGTGTGGAGCTGGTGCCTCCAACCCCTGCCGAGATCCCCAAGGCCATCAGCGGCGTCCAGGATCTCCTCAAGGGCTTCCAGTCTGGACGGCTCGGTCAGACCACAGTGAGGGTTAGTACGGGTTCTTTAAATTCTGGTTTGCCATTTCAAATAGAACTTTTTTTGAGATCTGACAATGTTGATACAAAATAATTGCTTAAATGTATTATCCAAAAAACTAAACAAAAAAACATCTGCTTTGGCAGAGGCACATCTGTCATGCAGTGTTGGGAAGGTTACTTTGTAAATGTAATAGGTTAGAGATTACAAGTTATGATTTAAAACCGTAAGAAATAGTTTAATAGCTATGATGCTGTTTTTGAAATCAGATCTTTTCATGACAGGAAACACAGGCATCTAACAGTTAATCTTTAAAAAATAAAGCATATACATAATCATATAAACGTGTCCTATTCTGTGTCCTAAACTCCTGAAACATTGGTGTCTCATATTGTAGAGCAGTCGATGCAATTTGGGAAAGAAATTAATTAAATCTGTATATGGGTGTGTGTGGAAAAAATTCAGATTAACCCCTTTGTAATCTTTAACATTTTCAAAAGTAACTAATTTAATTACACATTTTTTCTCAGTAGCTCTAACTGATTAAATTAATTTTGAAATAAATTCCGTAATCCCGTTACATGTAACTAGTTACTCCCCAACACTGCTGTCATGTCATATTCCAAATATGTATTTGTCATTGTGCATGATGCATATGCTAATGTTAGCCACCATGTTTAGAAAAAAATTTAAATTGTCATTCACATATCTTCAAGCTGTTCCAAACTTGTATTAATTTTTCAGCCATTGAACACAAAAGATCAGTGGTGTAATGTAACAAAGTAATAATAGGTGAACTGAATAAAACTTAAGTATTTTTTGGGAGTATCTGTACTTTACTTCAGTTTTTATAATTCAGCCAACTTTTACTTTTACTCCATTACATTACCTAATTAAAATGTATACTTTTACGCCGATACATTTCCCTGAAGCATATTCGTTACTTACTAAAAAATAGTCAGAAGTCAGAAGAACACGGACTGCAGGAAAGCAGGTTTGACGAATCAGTGGTCTGGCGTTTGCAAGTTAGACTCCTAAAAAACACCTTTGATCATGTGCAAACAAGCGCACACACAACTGCGGATTATTCATTTTCCACTCACGTTGAGTCTGGGGTAGGGCTGCACGATTAATCGAATGCGATTGTCATGCGCATTTTGATAGTAATGCCGGTTCTGTAATCAGCAGGAAATCATCATCACGTGCTTTCAGATGGAGCAGAATTTACTACACATAGCCGTAGTTCACTGACAAGTTACACAAAAAAATCGCAGACGATTTTATTGCGCGATTCTGAAATCGAAGAAATCGTTTGCGATAATGACAGCTGTTTGCATATCTTCTCAGTGAACTATGGTTTTGTGAAGTAAATGCTGCTCCATGTGAAAGCATGTGAAAATACCACATTTAATAACATATTTTTACTCCAAACTCACTTCATAATGTCAGTCGAGTGTTTGAAATAAATCCTTCTGTGAGATGATGTGGCTTCTTACACAGAATAAGGCACGTTTAATTTCACATTTCGACTATTTTTTCATGTTTTAAATTATTTCAAATATCAGTATTCAACGTTTTATGTTAAAAACAAAACATTAGGCCTATTTATGCATCTGTAACTGCAGTTTAAATGCATTCTTGTTCGCTTCCAAGATATATAAACTGTGTAAATGCATCTAAATGCTTATTAGATTCCAGAAATGTTTTCTTATGTTGGAATGACACTAAGTACCGGATGAAGTGCTTCTTATTCTTACCCACAAATACAAAATGGAAGAAAGAGGTAAAACTGAACACAATCTTGCTACTCAAGCTTTGTATGAATTTTTTTTATATATATTTATTTGCTGCTTTTCCATTTTGCATTTACTTGTACTTTTACTTTCAATGCTTAAGTACGTTTTAAGATTTTTAAAAATACTTTTCGTACTTAAGTACAATAAATATCACATACTTTAAGACTTTTACTCAAGTAATATTCTAATCGGTGACTTCAACTTCTACCAAAGTCATTTTCTGGAAAGATATCTGTACTTTTACTTGAGTATGGTTTTCAGGTACTTTATACACCGCTGCAAAAGATATTGTGAAGAATATTGGTAGCCAAACAACTGACAGTAGCCATAGACTTTGATAGCATGGGGGGGAAAAAATATGGAAGTCAGTAGCTACCATCAGTTGTTTGGTTACCAACATTCATCACAGTATAATCTTTTGTGTTTAAATTGCAACATGCAAATATTTTAGGAAAAATGTGCTCTAAACCTTTTCCTTTAAACATTTGGAAGCCAGTACACTCACTGCAGTTCAAGCATAGCACTTCTTCTAATAATATTTATAATATTTTCTAGTAAATAAAAGCTTGATTAAGCTCTTATATCAGCCTGTGTCTGTTCATTTATTGAACTGAAGATGCACTTCATTGTCAGAATGTGAGGTTTAAATTGTACATTTAATTATTGTTTGGCAAACCTGATTATTAGTAGTTCCAAGCATATTTATGTAATGTCTCTCATCACTTTTATTTATTTGCCACAGGATGCTCTGAGGAACGGACTCGTTGCCACAGAAGTTCTGATGTGGTTCTACATCGGCGAGATCATTGGGAAGAGAGGCCTTATTGGCTATGATGTATAAATGTGGACTGTCCTGTTTGCTTGTTCTCTTTGCTGAGCTTTGTCTGTTTCTTTATCAGATTCTTGGAATCCAGGAACTAAATAAATAAATATTAAAGAAAGAACAGCTTTCATGCTGCTTTAATTCCAGTGGGTTTTAATGACTTGTCAGTGAGTGTACCCAGGCGAATGTTATACAATATTGTTAAATATTAGTCTGATAGATGGTGGAATTCATGGATATACACAACATAATCAATATCCTTTAAAATCTTTCCTTTTTGTGTTAATGAAAAAAGTTTTACCAGGTCAAAGTGATTTTAATGCAGTTGTGGGGGGGGAAATACAAAAGTTGAAAGAAAAATGCATGTGCATATATTATGTGTGATATAGATTTATCTTGGTTTATATACAAAATTATGTAATAATTGACATTTCTTCTCGCTCCTGTTTTTCTGATAGCATCCGCATAACATTTCCCAAGTATTTGTGGAACTCCTGTCGGACATCTTCAGGCTCTTCCTCAAGATTTGAGTGAATGAGCGGCAACTTGTTTAACTGTGGGGCTACACAGAGGATAAGTTAATTAGGTTTAAAAATTATTAGGCATATGTAACTTTAAGAAAATTTTGAAGGGGTGTTCAGAAAATAAATTTCCTTTTCATTCAGTTTCAAACCAAACCGCAAATAAAAGCACCTTACAATGATCTGATGCAGTTAATGGTATAGTGAGAGGGTACGTTACCTAATGGTGGACGGGTAGTGTCAGCCCCGCTCCCTGGTTTATGATGTGCTATGAGCAGACACTGGGCCTCTTGTAGACCCTGAGAGAAGATGAATGTAGAGTACCAGGTCTCTATTTCCTTGAGATGACTGGGCACATCTGGGTTAAACACAATAACTACTCCATTGGAGTCTTTCATCAACGCTGGCCAGCATGATTCAAACCTGTGCACATACAATTCTGAATGAATTTACTCAGGAAGACAGGAATTGTTTGACAATTTAAGTCTGGTTCAGAAAAAGGGTCTACAATTGGTCAACTTACTTGAAATCACCTGCACAATCCCATAGTTCCACTTCACATGCTGAATTTTTGTTACCATTAGATAAATTGTGTGATTCAAACTCAAGTATCCTAAAGATGGAAAAATGTCATATTTGAATAGACAAAAATAAAACTTTTGGCCAGGCAGCAAACATTTATACATGTTGCAACATTTCTTTAAAAAAAAAAAAAAAAAAAATCAACCCACCTTACTCCTTGTGTAGGGCTGTAGTCCGCTCCGATTGTCTCTGTTGTGTCAGACAGAAAATTGGCCAATGCTGTTTTCCCACACTATCAATATGAAATATGAAAATCAGTGATCTACACAAATAAATAAAGATACACATACATACTATCAAACGATTTACCTCGCTAGGTCCAATTAATAATATTTTCATCTTGAACGTATTGAAGTATAGAGAGAAAAAGGCAAGGGAGAGATTTTCGACTAGGGAACTATTTTTTTCTAACCTAGCTAGCGAGCTAGCTACTAAAACAACAATTTGACATTTCTGTTGTGATAAAATAATATTCATTGAGATGTAAAACGTTTGCTTAAGGTGTCAAATCAGCGCGATCTACCGTCAGACACAGAAAGGCAGCTAGACGAAGCGCACGGTGGGTTAGCTCAAGGCTAACATAATAAACAACTCGTTTCCAAGGCGATTACGCAGAAGGTAAAACACGGGTCGCAGATTCGCCTCGCTAACCGTCATAATTTATCTTGCGTACATTAAAAAGAAATTATTTAAAAAGAAATCCCGAGAACGGTAGAAAAAGGTATGCAATTCGTTTAGTTTTTAGGCTATATAAATAACTTTTTAAAACATCCCCTTACAAACAGAAACCAAACTTTTAAGAAAAAATAATACAAGGCTTTTGGCCAGTTGAACACTTCCCTTGGCCACACAAATGAGCAATATTAATTGTCACACGATATGTGTAACCTGTCACAACCTTTTATGTGGGAACCTGCTATTAAACCCGCCTATAATAAACGTTTACATTTATGAGCATTAAAGGCACAATAAGTAATTTTCGCCGCTAGAGAGTGCGTATTCAAAATAAACAAAGAGGCAAAGGCCTAGTTGCCATGACTGAGTGTGGAATCATGGGAGTCGTCGTCTTCATCCCCACAGCCGACGCAATCCGACGGAGCTCCATGTCCATGGATGAGCTAATGATTTATTAAGGTAGTAGAATGAAGCAGGGTGAGGCCCTCGAAGCGAAACGAGGCCGCTGAACGAGCGTGATACATGGCTCGAAAGCAGCGGAGCTTTTATTATGCCACAGCTTCCGCTTCTTCCGGTCGTGCCTATGTGGGGGAAAACTGTGCTGTTTTATCATACTAGATACATTTGAAAGTTCTGTTATTATGCTACTCTGTGCGGTCGTCACCGGTCTATTAAAACGCACAACATATTAAAGCGTCTTTGGTGTTTCCATATTTTCTACAAAACAAAACCGGAAATCGAGGGGTTATCATTGGCAGACGACACAATGACACTATGGACACGCTCCGTGTCACTAGTTAAAATTGCTTATTTCTCTGGATTTAAACATTCTTCCAAACATTTGGGATAGTGTAAGTACACAAGTCAGCAAAATATATAACACTGTTCTAATGGTTTTTGGATATTTTAATAAAACAAAATCTAAATGCCGTTAATGCAATTCATGAAATAGCAGAAATGTAAAGGCCAAACAATATAATTATTGGACGAAATTCACACAATCTAATTCAAGCCATTTTGGTTTATAAAAACAACATATGTAGTATTTGAGGTTGTCCTAAACATGATCCTAAAAGTGATTTCTAAAAAAGTATTTCCTCTTATAGCCACACGAGGACACTAGTCATCTGCGTCTAATATTTGCCATGAAAGAAGCTAATCGTCCACAGCAGGTTGTTGTCTTTAAAAGGTGTTTACAAAAATAACCCGCCAAGGTGAAAAGCAGAAAGCAGGTTTACCAACTAAACCGGTAAGTTAACACAAAGTAAACTGTTAACCTCAACTATCCAACAGTAGTTTCTCCAGAAACCTCAGTAGCTTTAGTGTGGTAAAGTTGGTTTTATGTTGGACATTCGCCGAGAAAATTAAGGGACTGTCTCAAAAGTGCATTGAAAATTATAAAAAAAAAAGATATGCATCCCAAGATTCGAAAACATGCAAAGCAAATAAACTGTAAAGATGTGAATTAAGTGGAAAAACATGAATGGGAGATTCACTTTGAATTGTTACATTGTTATTACATTGCATTACAACATTTTCTTTTAACTGGTAGAAACAGGAGTTGAAATGGCATCTGTAATATATTCAGTAACACTTCTAATACATCATACATGACTTTAATTTGGGAAATATGATCTTGTGTATTTTTGGTGAATTTTTCAAATATTCAAATATATATAACTTCCTGGCCATGTGACCTGATGATGCCACACCAGTTGTGATATCTTCACACAATCCTGACACACATGTTCCACCTGTGATTTTTGGAATAATTTGTTTGCTAACCTTAATTGGAAAGAAATCTGGTCTCTACAGCAAAAATTCTAAAGAAATTTCTTTTAAGCTCACACACAGGTTCTACCCTGTAAAGAAGTTTATACAAAGATTTAAATCAGACATTGAGCTAACATGCACTTTTTGTTCGAATTCTGAAGAAACTGTTTTACACTTTTTTTCTACACTCAGAAGCTTTGGGATGATATTGGTGTGTTTGTCAAGTGTAAGATTTTGCCAGGCTTCTCAGTACATATGAGAAACATTATATTTGGGTATTATGACTCAGACCCCACAAACGAAAATAACTGTTTTGTTATTAATTACATTTTTCCCCTAAGCAAATTTCACATTCACAAATGCAAATTTTCCAACTGTAAACCTGTCTTCTCTGTCTTCCTAAAAGAAATGGAAAATTATTTGAATGTAATTTTAGTATCTAATAATAAGAAAGCTATAAGGACTGTTAGGATTGGCTCTGCCTTTGATCTCTTCATGTGATCATGTTTAGATGTCTGCCCTCTTATCTTTATTTTTATTTTATTTTTTATTTTATTTTTGTGGTTGATATTATGTGATGTATGCTTATTCTTCTGTATGTTCCCGTTCTTTGCAATAAAAAAAACATGAAAAAATAAAAAATCCTGACACACATCATACATCACTTGGATTTTGGAAATATGATTTTGTGTATTTTTAGTGAATTTATCAAATATTTAAATCTATTTAACTTCCTGGTCATGTGACCCCCATTTCCAGCAGTTACAAATGGTTTTAAGTCAATTATTTCTATCTTTTACTGTAGTGTGTCAGTAGGAAATATCAGTTTACATTTCAAAACATGCCATTAATTGTAATAATCCAGTGAGATTTTGGTCTGACAACAGCCAGTGCTCCACACAGAGATCTGATCTGATCATCATCCAGTCTGTCTGGAATGACATGAGGAAACAGAACAAACTGAGACAGACTAAATCCAGAAGAATTGAGGCAAAATCTCCAAGATGCTTCAAGAAACCTACCTGCAAAGCTACAGTACTTTTAAAAGTTTTAGGCACTTGTGTAAAAATGCTGTAAAATGAGGATGCTGTCAAAAATAATGTCATAAATAGATTTTCTTTATCAGTTAACTTCTATTAACTAAATTAAATCAACATTTGGTGTGACCATCCTTTGTGTTTAAAGCAGCTTTTGCCCCCTCGGTGCACTTGTGCATAGTTTTTCAGGTAGCTTTGCAGGACCTACCTTGAAGGTTGCCACAGTTCTTCTGGATTTAGTCTGTCTCAGTTTGTTCTGTTTCTTCATGTCATTCCAGACAGACTGGATGATGGTGAGATCAGATCTCTGTGTGGAGCACTGGCTGTTGTCAGACCAAAATCTCACTGGATTATTACAATTAATGCCAAAATGAATGTTTGGAAATGTAAATTGATATTTCCTACTGACACACCAGATAGAAGATCCAGATAGAAAGATAGAAATAACTGAACCATTTTTTATCTACTGAAAATACTAGTGTTCTAATAATTTTGATTGAAAAAAAAACCCCTATTTTAAAACAACCAAAGGCATAATTCCACAAACAACTGCATGAGAGTTGTTTGACAAATGTGTATGATTATAATACAGTGGGTGTTGCAATATGAGGTCACATGACCGGAAAGTTATATAAATTTGAATATTTTAAAAATTACATTTCTAAAATCCAAGTTTTTACTATTTGTGTAAGGATTGAAGATATTACAACTGGTGTGACATCTTGGGGTCACATGACCAGGAAGTTATATAGATATGAATATTTGAAAAATCCATAAAAAATAGACAAAATTACATTTCTAAAATCCAAGTTTTTTATTATGTGTGTGAGGATTGTGCGAAGATACTACAACTGGTGTGACATCTTGGGGTCACATGACCAGGAAGTTATATAGATATGAATATTTGAAAAATCCATAAAAAATAGACAAAATTACATTTCTAAAATCCAAGTTTTTTATTATGTGTGTGAGGATTGTGCGAAGATACTACAACTGGTGTGACATCTTGGGGTCACATGACCAGGAAGTTATATAGATATGAATATTTGAAAAATCCATAAAAAATAGACAAAATTACATTTCTAAAATCCAAGTTTTTTATTATGTGTGTGAGGATTGTGCGAAGATACTACAACTGGTGTGACATCTTGGGGTCACATGACCAGGAAGTTATATAGATTTAAATATTCGAGAAATTCACAAAAAAATACACAAAATCATATTTCCAAAATCCAAGTGATGTATGATGTGTGTCAGGATTGTGTGAAGATATTACAACTGGTGTGACATCATCAGGCCACATGACCAGGAAGTGATATAGATTTGAATATTTGATAAATGTATAATAGATGCACTAAATATATATATATATATTTAATCTAAGTTGTGTACTATATGCTGCATGTATATATAAATACATTGTATGTGATTTGAGCTTTTTCAATAAAACAACCACATAGTTAAATACATTTATTTCATTAAGATATGCAGTTTACATACATATTTATAACAGATATAATAATCATTTAAAAGTTAAAAATCATCTTAATCTATTCTTAATTTATTTGCCAACATAAACTACACATGTAAAAGGATCACGGTTTTAGTGTTTTTTATGGAATAATGCACATATTTAACCAAGTTTATTGTGGATTTTGCACTATTGAGAGACTCCCTAACTTGACGTGCGCAAGCGGAGATTGTTGTGAGGACTTTTTCACTTCAGAGGTTTAAAACAATTACATCATTGAGTAATATTATTATTAATTTTAATATTATGCTTTTAATTGTGATCTGAACGAGATACAGCATCTATGTGCCTATGTGAACATAAAAAAACTTATTGTCAAAAGAAATGACTTATTTTTCCTGCCAATATATGTCATATGTAATTATATTTTCTTTCTCACTTTCTTACCAATAACATTTGAGCAGTTGGAACACCCACTCCGAACAACAAAAACAGCATTTTTTTTTTGTTCTTCATAGTGTTAACTAAGATTTTT